TATATATTGTTGTGAAAAACAACGACAATAAAGTGAAAAATGAAATGAGAAAAAATTGCACGCAGAAAAAACGCTAGAGCGACGTACAAATTAACGTGGTTCGACAAATTTGCCTACGTCCACGGAGCTACAAAGGATTTATTTCTTCGATGAATTACACCGTCAAGCACCTCGACATTTACAAGAAAATCTTTATTTTCTTCTCTCCCTTCCTTTCTCTCTCTCTCTCTCTTTTCCTCCATTTCTCTTAGCTCTTAAGATGACTTGGTTTGGTCTTGCTTAACTTGCATTTCATTTAAACCAAAAGTAACTATTTATAGAAACCATGAGAGCGGTAGGTGAACGGTAGGTGGGATGTGGTAGGTGATCGGTAGGTGGGTAGGCGAGATACTTAATTAAGAAGCTAATTAAATTTGGTGGATCGGGTCTTCACATTACCCAACAATTCTCTCGCTTGAAGACTGTGATACTGAATGCATCACCTACTAGCTGCATCATCTACTGGTTGTACCGACTTTTTTCCTTAAACATGATATCATTCACCTCTGCAACTCAAAGCCCATGTCTTCATGTCAGAAGCCAGCTGAAGTTGAGCACAACTTCAGCTTCTCACGAGTAACACCATCAATTAACATATCACCGTCAACGTAGCCTTGTACATCCAAGCTCTTTCTTGGGTACTTTTGTATCTGCTTACAACTCCCACTGCATGAGCAATATTCTGCCCCTATTGAAAGAGATTTTCAACAAGTCCAGTCTTGTACATCTTACTGCCACCAAGCGCAGTCTTCACCTGGTACACTCACTTGTTGTGCAATGTCTTCTTCCTTGATAGAAGTTCTGCCAGCTCCCATGTCTGATTCCCTAGTAAAGAATATGTCTCCTCCTTCTTGGTCAACTCTCACTTGCTCGAATTCTCATCTTGCAAGATTTCTTCATAACTTTGTAGTTCTCCACCATTTGTCTATACAAGGTCTGGTTTTCCTGCCTTTGGCGTTCTACCATTTTTCAGGAAATTGACCTTCTTCTGCTTCCTCATAATGCATCCCTGACTCATGTGTCCTCGCCTGAGTAAACCTATAGTCATATATAATGTGTTAGTTTTCTTGCCCCGAGCCAGTACTAATGCTCCTTTGGTAACCTTCCAGGTGTTATCTGAGAACACTACCGAATGACCACCCTCATTGAGTTGTCCAACAGATATGAGGTTTTTCTTCAACTCAATAACGTGTCTGACCTTTTGCAAAGTTCATTTGTTCTTGTTAGGGAGTGCAATATCAACGTCTCTTATCCCCACCACGTCCAAAGTTTTTCCATCAGCCAGATATACCTTCCCAAAGTTACCTGCAGCATAATTTCGCATTAACTCCCGACGGAAAGATGTATGGAAGGAAGCCCCTGAATCCAATATTCAGTCATCAACAGAGTTATGAACTGCAAGCAATAGTGCATCCTGCAAAATTTAACTTTGCAATAAAGTGTATGCAATTCAATTTATAAACTCTCGTAAAACTGAAAAAATGAAATGTTGTTCAACATTCTCCCCTCAAAATGTTACTTTATACTGAGGAGGTGGCAAGTGCAAGCAATTCGACCAACAAAATTTCTCAGAAACTATAAAGCAGTGTTCATATAACTACAATTTTTTTTTTGAAATAAACAGATTAACAATGCTTATATATTTTATTCCATTGCTTGTACTAGTTGATCAGAGCAGGTAAAGATATTGCTAACTTATCTGTCATGCAAACATCAACTTTGCAACAAAGTATATGTAATTCCATTTATAGAAGTCTCAGAAAAAACTAAAAAAAAAAGTAATGAGTGCTCAACACTATCCCCTCAAAATGTTACTCTACATTGAGGATGAGGTAAAAACAATCACTTTGACCAACAAAATTTCCCAGAGAAACTGTAAAACAGTGCTCATATAGCTATGAAAAAAAACTAAAAAAATCCTGCAATAAACAGATTAATAATGTTCATATATATTTTATTTCATAGTTTTTACTGGTTGGTCAAAATAGGTAAGGATGTCGGTAACTTATATATCTTGCAAATTTCAACTTTGTATTACAATATATGCAATTTCATTTATAAAAGTCTCAGAAAATCTAAAAAAAATAATATAGTACTCAACATTCTCCCCAAAAATGTTACTCTACACTAAGGAGGAGGCAAAAGCAAGCAAATTGACCAACAAAACTTCTCTAAGAAACTGTAAAGCAGTGCTCATATCTCCAAGAAAAAAAAGCACAAAAAAATTTTTAAAGAAACAAATGAACAATGCTCATATACACTTTATTCTATAGCTTTTGTTGGTTTATCAGGATATGTATAGATGTTGATAACTTATCTATCGTGCAAACTTCAACTTTACAACAAAACATATGTATTTTTATTTATAAAAGTCTTGAGGAAACTAAAAATAGGAAGCAGTGCTCAACATTCTCCCTCCAAAATCTTACTCCAGACTGAGGAGAAGACAATATCAAGAAAATAGACAGTAAAATCAGTGCATGTATGTGTAGTAGAAGTCCACAAAGAATTCTTAAAGAAACATATATACAATACTGATATATATATATATATATATATATATTTATTTATTATATATATATATATATTTCATTACATATCTTCTATTGGATGATCAAGATAGGGATATATGCTGCAAACTTATTTATCATGTGATGTTCAACTTTACATCAAAACATATGCAATTTCATTTATAAAGGCCTCTCAGATACTTAAAAAAATGAATTCTTAAAGAAATAAGTGAATAATGCTCATATATATTTCATTTCATAGCTTTTATTAGTTGATCATGATAAGTAAAGATGTTGCTAGCTTATCTATCATGCAAACTACAACTTTGCATGAAAACATATGCAATTCTATTTGCAAAAGTATTTTATATACTAAAAAAAGGATTTCTTAAAAAAACAGATAAATAATGCTCATATATATTTGTTCCATTGCTTATGTTGGTTGATCAAGATAGTTATAGAGTTTGTTAAATAATCTTTCATGCGAACTTCAACTCTACATTAAGACACACGCAATTTCATTTATAAAACTATCTCATTTACTAAAAAAAGTAAGCAGTGTTAAACATTCTCTCCTCAAATGCTACTCAACTCTGTAGAGGAGGCAAATGTAAGAAAATTGACCAATTAACAACAGTGTAAGCATATGTAGAATAAGTCCACAAAGAATTTTGTAATAAACAATGTATAATGCTCATATATATTTCACTTCATTTATTCTACTGGTTGATTAGGATAACTTTAGATAATGCTAACTTATATGCTCTATAAACTTCAATTTTGCATTAAAACATATGCAATTTTATTAGCAAAATATTATAACAAAAATAAAAAAAAATGAAAAGATGCTGAGAAATCTCGCCTTAAAATGTCTATATACACATATGCATAGGAACAAGCAAGCGAATTGACAATCAAACTCTACTGGATGCATATGAAGAACAAGCACAAAAAACATTTCACAGAAAAAAAAAGTGAAATACAATGATTGACAGCAAATAAACCCAAATCGACGACACTGACAACAGAGAGAGAGAGAAGCAAAACTGTGTTTCAACCCTAAAGACACAAGTGACAAACGAGGAGAGGGGTGAAGAGTATATGCTAAGATAGGGGAGTGGGATTACCTGAAATTCGAAGGGGCAGCGACGTCAAAAGCCCCTCACAACAGAGCTCCAGTCGTGGAACGCTCTCTCATCCTTTTGTTTCAGCTTTCAACCAAATACACCCCTCCACCTGTGAAATGCACGAGAATAAAAAGTTCCCAAACACGACTTTTTCTGTTCTGAAATGCATAAACCGCAAAAATGGCCTCTTAAACAGGGTTTAAATCTCCTCGTCAAATCCAGCCTTTAAAAGAAAATTTAATCAAAAAGTTTTATGGGAGAAGTTTAATAAAAATATTTGTATAATAAATTTGAACAAATCTTCCAATTTTATTGAGAATATTTAATTGATGCCATTTATTTTTCCCAAAAGAAATATTTATACAATTTATCCATCGTCAAAGGCAAATCAGGCAAAACAAATTTTGACTCAATCTCCTCGCTTTCTTTCATGTGGAGAAAATGGGTTTATTCATAATTTTTTAGAGCAATATTTTGTAAATGCTTCATTGGACAGTCATTGTTAATTCTTTTAATTGTAGGTCATTCTTTTAGTATTTAGATGTCGTAACAATCATATAGTTGAATAATCTTATGTCATTTAAATTTCTCTCATCAAATAACTAAATTTGATTATAAGCATGCCAAATTTAGAGATTATTTAA